TCCAGCCTGGTCTTTTACCATCAGAAATAAAATATAGTCCGTCTGAAGTATGTTCAAGATGACATCTTAACTAAGATGACAGGGTTACAGTATGAACCAGTCTGTCAATAAATGAATGCTGAGCATTGAGTTTGCAGGGTGAACAATCAATTAAATATTTACTGAACTGAGCAAACTATACCATTCTACAAATATATAGAATCAAATATATAGATATATATTTTAATCACACTAGTAATTCATGGATTATAGAGACAAGAATATCAATGGACTGAAAACTTCTTTGTTTGACTCAGAAAATATACAGCAAAAGGCTAATGAGGTAATAGCTTGCTAGGGGAATGGCTTCAAATTTAACTCATAGGGCAGAATAATTCCTCCCAAATCAAACACAGTATTTTGTAAGTCCTTCTGCCCCTGTGCTAGCCCTCAGATGCAGCTTCTGGTTTAGAAGAAAGAAATGACACCACCTGGTCGTCATTCACCCTGCCCCTGAGTATTGCAACTTAAATACATTAAGAAGAAAGTAATATGAGTTTCCCAGGACTGGGATTTATGTTAAGGAATTTTATGTTCTGGCCCTCTCACATTGCAGTCCCAAACAGTGCTAGATATAATACTGAGAAGCATAGTTTGGTGCATCTGAATACAATTAAAATTGAGCTGGCGTATCTGCAATAATACAGTCCAAATGGGCATACTTTGTTGCTTGTCCCATTCACCCAAATGTTCGTGGAAAGATTCTCACGCAAGAATTACCATGAGAAGAATGAAAGAGACAACATGAAAAAGCATCAAAACAGTTTCAAGGCTGTTTTAAAACAATACAGTAGAGACAATACACAGTCTCCCTGTGAACAGCTTACTGGCTTGGTATCTATGCCTTCTGTTTCCCCATCACTGCTACTTGTCTCATCCATCTGTGTCTTGTCATTTAGACAGCAAGTTCTTTTGGGGCTCATTAGCTCTGATTTTCGCCACCTGGGACACTGAGCTTCCCCAAGCTCATGGGCCCCAATAAAAACACTAAGGAAATAATAAACAATAATGTTTGGCCAAGAGTTGTAGTGCTAAATGCAGGAATCACCAACCATGCAACATCTATGACCTATGTTGGAGAGGAAGTCAGAGCTGATGATCATAATGCCCTTCAGGTCTATGAAGGGATTGCTCAGTTACAATTCTCCAGCTAAAATCAATTTATATTTAATTAAATTGTATTACACAGTTCAGCTAAAATTACTACCTCAAGTACAAACTGACTCAAAATTAATCTAAATATAGTACTAACATTTTTTTTGCTTGGTTAAATAATTACTCTGATACACTTTCAATAGGGCAAAGACCAGAAATATCTTATATGAATACCATTAAGAGATGGGCCGGCAAGGTTCTTTGGGTAGATGTGATATCTTTTATTAGACCAACTAAATAGCTGGAAAAAAATGTTCTTTGCAAGCTTTTGAGCACAAACACCCTTCTTCAGGCATAGGGAAACTGCTTGTGTTATGTGTTCTCAAACGTAGAAAAGAACCTAATTTACAACATGCAGGTCTGTGAAAATGCAAATGAGTGGTAGTTTGGAAGACAACAGGTAGATAGGAAGGGAGGAGAGAGAAGGGAGGGAAATGTGTGAAGGAATGTAAGTGGCCAGCTGCAGGCAGGTTACCTGGGGTTATCAGACAGCAGGCAGGTTGTAATGTGTCATAAATCTAATGTTTATTTTTAGCGTTTTTGTATCCATTACATTTATGAAGTGAAATTCATAGGCTCATCTATGAAAGGTGTTTTGTAAATTCCCTTTGAGGATTAGAACTGAGAGATCAGAGAGGGAGTGCTTGTCTCATGAGAAGTGTGTACCCACAGGTGATTGGACATTTTGTCTTTGATGGATTTTTGATGTGTGTTCATTCTGGTATGCAGTTGTTTGGTTTCACCTACATATTGTCCATCATTTGGCCCACTGGATGAGATGTATTACATTTCTGGAGGTGCAGGTGTAAGATCCAGGAATGGTGGTGGTTTTGTTGTGGGGTATGGTTATTGTGGGAGCGGTGGAGTTGCATTGGCAGGTTTTACATTTCTTGTCCTGGCCTGGTCTGGATCCATTGGGTATGGCTTGGGTCAAAGAAATTTGTTTCTGGTGATGTAGTTAGCAAGGTCCAGTGCTTGTTTGAAGGTTAAGATGGGTTGTTCTGGAAATAAATCTTTAAGATTTGGGTCTTCTTCTAGGATGGGTTGCAATCATTTGAGGATTTTCTGTATAGGTTCCAGGGAAGGGTAGTATGTCATAACTAGTGGTATGTGTTTCATGGGGATTTTGTTTTTGAACTGCAGCAACCCTTTGTGTGGTATCTGGGTGACTCTTTCAAAAGTGCAGTCTGTCTCTGTGGAGGAATGTCCTTGTTGGGTGAAAGCCCTTTTGGGATTTGTGAGGTGGCAACTGTGGGTATTCTCCTCAGTGCAAGTTTGGTAGTATCAGAGAGTTTGGCTATATACTACAGCTTTTTGGTGCATTTAGGATGATTGCTGGTTCTGTGTAGATAGATATGTATGTTGGTCTGTGGGTTTCTTCTATATGATGGTTTGTATTTTACTATTCTGGATAATCATCATGGTGTCTCAAAAGGAAATGTTGGTATTGGAGTATTCAAGAGATAGCCTGATGGAGGGATGATGATTACTGAATTTGTGATGGAAATCAATCAGAGACTGCAGGTTTTCAGCCCAAATGATAAAGCTGTCATCTATATATCTTAGGTATAGCATGAGTTTGATGGTGCAGCTCTTGAATTCTTCTTCCAGGTGGGCTATAAAAAGATTGGCACACTGTGGGGCAATGTGGTGCCCATAGCTGTGCTCATGGTCTGGGGGAAGTGTTGGTTGTTGAGATGGGCATTTTAAGATTGCATGGTTGAACATGTGTAAAGTACATCACAAAAAAAGAAAGAGTTAAAAGACTTAAACAAGCTAAAACTAAGAGGGATTAAACTAGTCATTAAATACATATTTTAAAATTATTTTACAAGTAGCTCTGCATAAACACATTGTTATTTATAATCTTTATCCTCTCATTAATTGTTTTAATGTACAACCTCCTCTTCAGCAACCTGCTTAGATTACTTTAGTTAGACAAAATAACTTCATTTATTTCATTGTTCAGTTTATAATGGGCATTTCAATAAAATGAAACAATTTATTTGCGTGTGTGAATTTACTGAGTGAAAAGTGGTATATTAAAACTTGAGCTGAACAAATGGTTTGGAGTGAATAATTTATTCAGCAAAATTTGCCTCATTTTCTGTTTGTAAATTTTCTATGGAAAGCTACTTATTTTCTTCAATGTATTCATTATTGGACATTATATGCAGAATAATCTCTACAAATAATTATCTGTCTGTAAATCATTCATGCTTCATTTGTTGCCCTTGTTCCATATTTGAAATTTCACACATATGGGTTAGCTTCCATTGGATACAGAGGTCACATGACATCATTCTAATCTCTGATAGATTCAAGTTGCAGGTGGGAATAAGTTCTAGATTTTATTTCTGTGAATACAGTGTAAGACTTCTGGCACACATTCCTTTAACACATGCATTGCAGGAGGTGGGATTCTGGGATTGGAGATCAGACCCCAGGCTCATCCTGCACTGGCATGTTGAAAGCTGGGTGTCTGCAGGGCCAGGGCCAGGACCAAAAATCAGTCACTTGTTGGCCCCAGCCCAGATCTGATACACATTCAATTTAGAGTGCCATTGAAACCAGTCAAAAATATTCTACATTAAAAATGTTCTACATTTTATGGCACCTGGTGCCAAATGTAGCACCCTTGCCATTTATGCCACAATTAACACATTAATCATGGCATAAATGTAATGTATAGAAGGGCCTTAAGAGTTACCATTTAATTACCATTTAATACAAAAAACTAGAACTTTTGGTTCCAAAATGATACCTTTTATTAGACCAACTGGAAAATGGCAAGAAAATTGTCCTTTTCTGCAAGCTTTTGGAACCAAGGTCCCTTCGTCAGGCTCTGGGAAAAGTGTAGATGTTACAGGGTGGTAATAAGTCCCCATAGGTAGGAAATAAACTTCATTTTTGCACAGAGGGAACTGAAGATGGAAGGTTGTCCCTCTGGGTCCATTCGAGTGTCTTTGTGAGCTATATTGAGTAGCTCTTTGATGTGCTGATCAGGTCGAATGCCTTCCCTGGAGGTGTCAGATGGCAGGCAGGGAGGCAACCCCCCCCCCCCCCCCCAAAAACAAACAAACAAACCCTTCTTGTTGTTCTGCAATGAAGTTTAAAATCCGAAAACGGCATTTTTCCAGTTGGTCTAATAAAAAGTATCATTTTGGAACCAAGAGTTCTAGTTTTATGTATGTCTTTTTGTCTCAGACAAACATGGCTACCAAGTACATCCATTGAATATTCATAGTTTTCAACTTGTTTGCTAGAATAAAAAAGTGAGTCTGAGCATAGCTGAAAGGTACGGCATTTGAAGATTGTTTTGGACAGATCCATCCAGCGTACCTGGGAAATCTAGGAATTAATCTTTTATTTATCCTTAGGATACTCTTCTTATAAAACAGGGGTGTCAAACTCAACTGGCCCCATAGGCCAGATGAGTGGTGCAGGGCCAGTCCACAGGCCAGATTGGGCCCATGGACCAACCTTCCCCTACTTTACTTTCCCTGTCAGCACACATGGTGCCTGCAGTGCCCATTCCAGCCAGTCCAGGATCTGGTCCGCATGCACTATACTTCCTGGACTGATCCAGGCAAGTGCCACGTGCAGCACAGTCCTGGACTGGCCAAAGCAGGTGCCACATGTAGTGCAGATCCCAGACCAGCTACAGTGGGTGCCACTTGCAGTGTGTCCGAGGCCCCACATTCAAAGCAGGTCTGGAAGCATGTGTGCCAGTTCAGACCCAGGGGCAGCACCAGATGATGAGGCTCCATGGGGCACACAACAGGGCTAAAAAAGTGTTTGCTTCGATGAGGTATGAAAGTTCTTATGTTCCAGGACTAAGTAGAACGCATGTTTCGCTGAACTTCCTGGTCAACATGCTTCTACTCTCTCCCTGGAAGACCATTCCCTGGAGATAGCTGAATCAGAACTTTTCCCAATATCTCTAGTACTAGGGCAGTTCTGCCAGACACAGCAGTGGTAAAAGCATTAAGGGGAATAATGATGATGTTTTTACAATGGTATTATACTCTGAACAGGGTTAGATGATGGGATGATAAAAAGGAAAGCTTATGCCTGCCACCCCTGGGAGGGAAATGTTCTCATGGTAGCCCAGCAGTCTGGAATGTGCTAATGTAGAAAAGTTCTTTTGGGAGAGGCAAAGTCTCCACAATGCAGTCAATTCCTGACATCTCCGTGGAGGCTGTCAGTAATTTGAAATAACTCTAGTGGGTTTATGACATAGGCACCTCTCCACTGAAATTCAAGCAGTCTCTTGTTTCTTTTTTAAGAAAACAAATGATTGTTATTTTGAAAAGCTGCCCATTCCTAATATAATTAAATGGTGTGATTCCTGGAGGGACCACAGAAGTGAGTTGGAAGTTACAAAGCTGCCTCTATCTCAGTCTCATTTGGCAACACAATCCACAAGCTGCTATCCAAAATCCTCATGAGACTCCACTACTACAGGAAACCTCAGATAAGCAAGATAGACCAGAGCTTTTGGCTTCCCAGCCAAGGCTTGGCAATACTGAAGCATTTTATATGAAAAGAAAGAAAGCAGAAAAGATAAAGGTCAGCAGTAAATAGCAAATGAAGGCCTAAACATTTGAAAACAGTCTATGATTCAGAAGTGCCTCAGATCGGTCTTTAGCCAAACCACATGGAATGGGATTTGTCAAGAAAGGGAAGGTATTGTGGGCAGGGCAGGATCAGAAACAGCTCTTATTCTTGAAGTTCCTACATGGAATGACAGATGGTCTTGTAGTTAAGACACACGAAATATGACTACTATTTCTGCTGCGGATGTCTTGTGTGACACCAGGCATGTCACACAGGTGTTGGAGATCACCAGCTGTAGCCTGGGGTAGAATTGGACAAGTAGCATGCTACTTCTAAAATACCAGTTTTTGGTACTGGACTAACCAGCTGCCAACAGCAAATATCAGAATAAAAGAAGCATATCTGTTATAGGATTTTCAGGTCTCTGTCTCTTTCACAAAGTGTTCAGAAAAGCACAAAAATATCTGACTTTTTATGCCAAAATTCAAATTGGAGGTAAATGGTCCATTTAAAGAAGGATACTATTTTGTAACTCATTCCAGAGAAGATAGCTCTTACTATGGCAGAGTGAGATCTACCTTGGAATATTTGTCCCAGAGTTGAGAGAAATAGGTTTTCCCATATAACTCAGTTGTCACTACCTTACCTTACTTTCATTCCACTGGGGAAGAACATTCTCCTGAACAAAACAGTGTCTGTGCAAAGCAGTAGTGGAGGATAGAAGCAGTTCTGACATTCGGTTTAAACACAGTGAGTTAAAATTAAAGGGAAAAAGTAACAGTAAGTGCTGGTGAAAGAACCTGGAATGTTCTCCACAAAGACCTGTAATCACCCAAAGATCACATTCAGCCTAGTCCATGCAAAGCAAGCTTCTGCCTCACTAAGTAACTAATGTACCTTAACCATGCCCTATAGGGATCAGCACCTGGGGCAACTCAGAAGACTTCATGCCCATCCAGTCTTCTGTCTCCCCAGAGAGTGCCAGCAACCAATTAGTACCATCTGTGATGTGGCTACTTGTTCAGTTCAGTTTCTAGAGCCAGGCAAAAAAGATGGATGACTTTTTCTTCTGAAAAATGTGTCAAAATTCCACCAAAAATACTATTTTTTTCTGAAAGTTAAATTAATTTAATGTGAAACAGCCATTGCATATTGTAACAAGCTACCTATTGTAACAAACTGCCTGAGATGCAAGCCATGAGGCATGAACTAAAGGTTAAAGATTGTCCTAAAAGCTTGCAAATAATTTTTCCAACTATTTGAGTTGGTCTAATAAAAGATATTGGATTTGCTCAAAGAACCTTGTCTGCCTGTGTCCTTAGACCAACACAGCTAAAA